GACAATACTGCTGAAATCTGGAATCTTTCTGACTGGCACTGCACAAATGACAGTACATATTAAGGTAGGTGTTATTAACATTATACATGATGCAATTATTAAAAAACAAACAAACAAACAACAAAAAAAACTACATTGGCATGTGCAACATTCTGGTTTTGCAGGGTTTTTTTTTTTAAACTGTAGGGCCAAACAGCTCCAAAAGAAAATAAAATACTTCCTGATCCTGATGTTTCTATTGTGTATTTTCATTACTGTCAACAAAAAAAATAGAGAGAAGACCACAAACAATGTGTTAGTCAGTTTTTCAATACTTTCTAAAATCAATCACTACCCTCTTTGCTCACAATATGCAGATTTTAAAACTGAAAGTAAACTTTAACACATACACACATATATATATACATATTCTTGTTTGTTCCAATTGTTCAACCCCCTTCCCTTTAACAGGGAACACATATGTAAGGGATTACATGCATCATTAAAATGTCCAATATTTCTCTTTCAAATGTCACTCAGTCACTAATATTGAGTCTGGCCACCCCTGACACAGATCAATGCATCGTGGCATACTGTCCACCAGCTTGTTGATGGTGTCAATGGGCAGGACATCCCACTCTTTGGTCAGATCCTGAAGTCAGGATTGGTTTCACCTGGTAACTGGAACTCAGTATGTAATCATTGATTACTGATGTGTATAAATAGAAATAAAGAGGAATGTGACCCTAACCCAAACAAAAATTATTCCAACTTTATGGGGAACGGTATACATACACACATACATACACACACATATATATAAAGCCAGCTACTGCATTAATGGTGTATTAAGGGCCCGACACTGTAGCCCAGCACAGAGGAATACAATATCTGTCATGGTCCTGCCTTTAAGTCACTTCCTTTCCCAATGTTTCCCCTGTTTCTCCTGCCTGTCAGTGTATGAGTGTCTGGGCGTGGTGACCTACTTTTTCTTCTGCTCAATCATCTGATACACCTGAGCTGCATCCTCCAACCAGCAGAATTCACATTCTGTTTTCCATGGTAGTATTGTGCTGGCCAGCTTCTGGTTTTATTCTTATTTTCAAGTGTTTTCTAAAAACCAAGCTGAACCTCTTTCCTTCTTGTGCCTCACATTTCAGTCTTCTCAGTGGCTGTTTGCCAGCCAGCCTCCTTGACCCCTGGATGAGTGTCCAGTGTGTGTTCTTCCATGTTTAACCCTCCAAGGGTGCTGCCCGACGTCGCCCCCCAGGGAGTCCTCCTTAGGCCTCCTTCACTATTTACTTTGGACTGATGCAATAAACTGTCTTTAAATATTGCTTGCTGTGCCTCTTGTACTGCTTTGGATCCAGAGGGAACCTCATAGTCCTTAACAATATCAGGCTTTGATCCTCACACAGTAGGTTAGGTACAACTCCAATTGAACTGTTTATGTAATTTGACTAAAATAAAAATATTTATTTGTTAGCCTTTTTAAAGCATTTGCCAATTCACTAATTGTTGACTTGCAACTTCACTGATACATTAAAGTTCCACTCCAGTCATTGATTGAACCCCTAAAAACTCCTCTCTGTGTATCAGAGTTTCATATCTAGATGTTTTTTCAATAAAAACTATCACATCCTACCTTAAAATGACTTAAATTAAACTCTATACCTGTGCTTCCTCTAGAAAGTACAGCTCTATGAAGTCCAGGCCTCTGCCTCTACCCACCTCACTGCCGCTCTCTGCAGCTCAAGCACACCAGCTCACCCACGACTCTGCTCAAACACTGTAAAATTGCTCTATGGTACACAATGGCAAGTTGTAATATAGACTAACTCGGGCCAAGTTACAACAGGAAACTGATTCTGGAGAGGAATAATGACATTGAAAGCCCCACCCTACAAGCTGAAAAGATTGGTTCCTTAGGTGTTTTTTAATGCATGAAATCCTGGAAGTCTGAATCTGTGTGCTAGATTGGATCAGCTCTGCTGTCTGACCCAATGCACCCTAACAACCAATTCCCAAGCTCACCCTAACCTCAACCACCAGTAAGAGCGGAGCGTCCCTCCAGCTCCACATGATGCAGTCTTGTAGAGCCTTTTGAGACTGTCATCGGTAGCTACACTGAAACTTTAAAGTGGAGATGCTCAGCCATGGCCCTGACAGTATCTTTTGCTTGTGACGTCTTCCAGCATAGGAGAAACACTATTTGATATGTTAAAAAGATAAGAAAACTGTATTCAATCATAGGTTGTTTTTCTTTGTTTTTAAATAGTGCACTGATGCTATTTAAATGTACTTAAATTGGAGATAGTGGAATCAGTTTCCACTATCTCCAATTTAAAAAAAGAGAGACTTTGAAAACTGCCTAAAGTCAGACATTCATGGAACCACACCGCGTAAATACTTCAGAATGAAAAATAGATGATATGTATGTCTATAAATATACAGCATACGATACTGACCACTTCAAAAACAACCTCACATTATCACATCCTGTATATATTGCATCTTTCACGTCAGCTGGAGTAAATGTTCGCCATCGGTGGGTTTCAGGTTGATCTAGTTTATATAACAGAGGTGGGATTTAATTGAAACACTTTTCTCCAAAGTAGTAAGTAGCCAAAATATCAGTTACATTTCTCAGACTCAGGATACCTAGTGAGATGTAGTGAAACAGAATATCAATCACATTNTTTTTTTTTTTTTTTTAAATAGTGCACTGATGCTATTTAAATGTACTTAAATTGGAGATAGTGGAATCAGTTTCCACTATCTCCAATTTAAAAAAAGAGAGCAATTTAAAAAAAGAGAGACTTTGAAAACTGCCTAAAGTCAGACATTCATGGAACCACACTACGAAAATACTTCAGAATGAAAAATAGATGATATGTATGTCTATAAATATACAGCATACGATACTGACCACTTCAAAAACAACCTCACGTTATCACATCCTGTACATATTGCATCTTTCACGTCAGCTGGAGTAAATGTTCGCCATAGGTGGGTTTCAGGTTGATCTAGTTCATATAACAGAGGTGGGATTTAATTGAAACATTTTTCTCCAAAGTAGTAAGTAGCCAAAATATCAGTTACATTTCTCAGACTCAGGATACCTAGTGAGATGTAGTGAAACAGAATATCAATCACATTACACAATCTATGTAGCTCAAATACATAAAAGTGTATCTATAACAGTTATACCACTTGAGGTTAGGGTTAGGGTTGCAAAGCAAACAACTCAGACTTTTTGGAGAAAATGATAAAATGAATAATCTTACCTAGTTCAAAGTTGAGAGTTAGTTCAGGTGTAAGTTTTGGGTGTGCAGCCAGCCTCTTGCCTATTTTCTGTGATCACACAGATAAACAAAACCCCAAAATGTCCAATAATGTATGTGTGTGAGGGGTTTTGTTAAGGTCGTATATAGACTATCATTTTGGTACATGAGTAGTGAAGTCATAATTGAAAGTGAATGGTTACTGTTTACTGACACACTAATGCCTTCAGTTATCAGCTCCTCTGTTATGAAATCAGCTCCCAGTTTGGGCTCTGGAGGCAGACACTCTCTATACTTTTAGAATTAGGCTTAAAACTGTCCTCTTTTATAAAGCCTATAGTTAGAGCGGCTCAGGATCACCTGAACTGTCCCTTAGTTATGCTGCTATAGCTTTAGAATGCCGGGGGACTCCAGTGATGGACTGAGCTCCTCTCCTCTCTTCTCTCTTCCTTCCATACAGCTTTACCCACCATTACATGTCACTAACTCTGTGTTTGCCCCAAGGTCCTGTGTTTGTTCTCTCTGCAGACGTCTCTGGATCTGGAGCTTCACATCCCTGACCTCCAGTCGCTGGCCTCACTGACCCCCCAAAATACTTATATTCATATTTATTGTTCCGTTCTATTGCTGCTCTCCATCTGCTATCCTGTTATCCCCCACCCCCTCATCCCCACTCTGACCCAACCGGTCGAGGCAGATGGCCTCCTTTCCTGATCCTGGTTCTGTCGGAGGTTTTCCCACCGTTGCCAACCGCTTGCTCAGAGGGAGTCCAAAGGCTACTTTGGATTGTTAGGTTCTCTTTTTAAATTTGTAAGGTCTACACCTTACTATATTAAGTGCGGTGAGATGGCATATGTTGTAAACTGTGCTATACAAATAAAATTGAATTGAACTGAATTAAATTAATGTGAACTGCTGAGTTCTAAAACAGCAGCTAAGAAAATGTACTGTCTGTTCAGTGCAGAGGTCATTAAATTAATAAGATTAGCTTATTGCTGATCATAACTAGTGGCTACTGACATTTCGTCCTTCTTGGTGTAGGGCCAGTGTGAGAAATAAGCCCCAGACATACAAACTGCCTGTCCATGTCTGCCTCCAGTACACTGTGAGTTTGGCTGTGCAGTAAAGCCATTTATCAGTTGCTCCTCTGTTGTGTGTCTGACAGCTGACCGGCGCTGTGACTGCAGCAGGCCTCGCTGCTGCCAAATAAACCACAACTACTTGTCTTGAATGGATTCAGGCCATATAAACTATAGTTAGTCTATAGCATGTCTTCCCTAGAAATGGGGTGCCCCAGATGCTTTTTTACCAGGTTTAATAAATTGTTGTTGTTGTTGTTGTTGTTTTAGCCCAGGCCAGCCCTAATGACTGTGCATCATGAATAAATGCACCTTTGAAAAACACAGGAAAGTTGTGTGTTTTGTTGGCTGTTTCAGGCGTACAGAGCCATAATTCCCATTAACGAGCCTACATTAACTCATGCTGTGTTGAAGTGGCTCATTGTGAGCTCGGCAGCAGTGTCGCTTTAAGAAGGAGGTGGGCAGCGCTCCGATGACGCAGGAATAATCCTGAAAAGATGCTTCAAAACTCCAGGCCGGAGCCAGCGTGTGTGGTGGCTGCTGACTGAGCTGGAAGAATCTCCGAGCCTGGCAGGATCAACTGTTGAAAGATTATTTTGAGCAGGTTCAGGAGCCTTCGAAGGCTCTCAATGCAGAATAAACACTCACTATTTGGCAGATTCGCTCCTTTAAAAGACAAATACAGTTATTTACCATTAAGCCATTTACCCACGGCGGAGGGCTTCTGTTTGCAACTATATGTGCGCTGCCAGGTGGAGCCAACATTTGAAGAGTACCTCTCCAACACTGTTTGTTAGTTATCTGAAGTGGGATTTTGGAAAGTGGCATCATGCCATACTTCACCACATTGTGTGTCTACTTTTTGATGGTCCTGAACCCAGTTATGACAAACACCTTCACCGAGGACATAGAGGTTTTGGTATTTTTGCCAAAAAATAACTCCTTCCTGTTCTCAAACGCAAGAGTCGCACCAGCGATCGATTACGCACAACAGAGGATGAAGGCAGACGGGGGCCAGTACTCTGGGTTCCGCTTCAACATCCAATTTGAGAACTCCGACTGTGTCAATGATGCGCTGTTTGCGTTGCTGGACAGATCGTGTAGTCAGAAGCCGGATCTGATCCTGGGTCCGGTGTGCGAGTACGAGGCGGCGGCGGTGGTGAGGCTGGCATCCCACTGGGAAATCCCGGTGATCTCAGCAGGTGCCCTGGCCACCGGCTTCGGAGACAAGAAGACCGAGTTTTCCCACCTGACTCGCATCGCCCCGTCCTACGTGAAAATGGCAGAGACGTTCACCGCGATGTTCAAGCATTTCACATGGAGCAGCGCGCTGCTGGTCTACGAAGACGACAAGAAGGAGCGGAACTGTTTCTTCACTTTGGAAGGAGTCTATCATCTCATGGAGGACTACAGTATTAAAACATACCAGTTTTCAGAAGACCAGCCCTTAAACGTTGACGACATCCTCCAGAACGTCTATGACATTGAAGGTAAAGCAGCTTTCCTTGTTCCCGATGAATCGGACGGTTTCCAGCTGACCGCTGCTGGTTTCTCTCTCTGGACAGAGACTGTTCGGTAGCAAACGCAGGGATGTTCTTGTTTTTTAGACATTAAGCATTGGATACAGGCTGCAACTAACAGTTATTTGTAGATCATAATATACATAATGAATCTATTTGTTTGTCCACTGTCAGTGCTTAGTCTATTAAACACATTGTTTTTCATAGACAACACTATTAAACACATTCTGGTGGTGTTGGTTGTGTTCAACCAGAAGCCCAAAAGCCAAAGATCCTGAAAATTTAGATTTAGAATAATACTACAATAAGAGGACAATGACAAAGTTAAACTCCATCTACTCAGCTCCTGTTCTATTGGAGAGCCACATAGCAGCTCTTCATTGATTGCTCATATTGTAGGAGCTGAAACTAAGGAGAAAACTGTGATGGGCATAGATGTGCAGTTATTTGTCCTTACCCCACCCACACTCTGCATCATTCTGACAGCCTTACATAACGTCCTGCATGCTGTTGGCATGAAACATCATCTCATGTCCACAGACCGCAGAGACACATGGTTTCATTATTTGATATTGCTTTGAGGACTTTTGAATCGGCAGGAAGAAAGCAAGTCAGCGAAACGGGATGAATGTGATGTAGGGGTTTGGTCTGCTTACGCTCATGTGATACCTTAAACACTACCATTGTCTTATATTGAACCGTTATCAAGATTGATGACAATCTCTCAGATGAGCGAGTGATGTATCTATGAGCAACTAAACTTGTTTCCTTAAAAATATCATTTTTCTTGGGTAGAAAATCAACCCTCTATAACTTTCTAGAACAAGCTATTCAGTACAACTGGGCTGTGCCTAACATGATTTTCTTTTAACTCAATTCTTTGATTTCCCACTTACTTATGTGGGGAACCTAAACTAAAGATTTCATGTTTGATGATGCTGTTACAGTTCTCAGCTTTGTCAGCTGTAGTCACACAGACAGCGTTCAGCGCCCTGGTACTCAGATCAGATGTGACTGTGCTGTACAGTGCTGTCACTGTCACATTTCCAGCACACCATCTACACGTACAGAAGGCTTTGACTAGATGCAACGCTTACCATCAACCTGGATTTCCACAAACACAGAAATACTCTGAGTGTAGATTTTAAAGCAGCGTGTGAATTGTGTTTTATACGTCTGTCACTGGAAGATAAATGTGTGCATGAGCCTAATGCAACTGCTGAAACAGTCTATTACAGGGGTTCTCAACTGGTGGGTCGCGACCCAAAAGTGGGTCGCGGACCTGTTCTGGGTGGGTCGCGGACAGCTGGTCAAAATTAAATAGTATATCGTGCGTCTCAGGTTGGACTTATTTTTTATTTTGAAAAAAACGTTTATTTTGACAGGCATGGTAACCATAGTTTGTTTGACATTCATTTTAAGTTTGTGTTGATGTTGGGACGCAAGATGGCAAAGTGCAAATAAGACCGGGAATATTTAAAATATGGATTTTCATACTAGGACTGGATCCGAATAGCCAACTATTCGTTCGCTGTGCTGGAATCGGGATATTAATTTTGAGCTCCAAATATTCCTCCCACCTCCCCCGCCGCCGCTACCACCGATACAGCACTGTGTCTGACCGAAGGCTCAGCGCCTGTACCCCCCTTCTGAAAAATAATCATCTGTTATGGGTAAAGTTTGGATCCTAGGTCTTACCTACTGTATAGCAAAGGGTGGACTCAGATCAGAAATTGATTTAGAAATAATTGACGGTAATCCTTGTGTCTGACATTGAGCTTTGTCGGTGAAGGATAGGTTCTGGTTTGATAATAGGATCTATGGACACTGGCTGTTTCTCATGTTTTTAAGATTGTTTTGAAATGTTTTAAGTAATACATAGGATTGCTGATTTTGTACATCCATGTTATCTGCTCCTTGTTCTTCTTGTGGCTGAAAAAAACTTCCTTATGACACAACATGTGTTTGAATTTCAGAAGGCCAGACAATTCCTTGGTGGTGTTGTCTAAATCCCACGGAGCATTTTTTGCAGTATACCATCTGCTCTGTTTTGAAAACAACAAATGGCATGGGATGGTCCCATTTGTCTTTCGACATTGCATCTGCATGCTAACAATAGCTATTATCATTATAAGAAGCATAGAAATGTGTTGTAAATACTATCAATCAACATTTCTATATCATAGTAGATTCTAAATAAACTCGTATGCTCACATGGGGCACAAATACAGTGCCTATGAAAAGCATTCATTTCTCTTGGAAGTTTCCACCTTTTTTTCGCTTTTCAATATTGAATCATGTTCAGTTTAATTAATACAATTTACTTTTTTGACAAGAATTTACAATATCATTGTCATAGTAAAGAAGACAAAAGATTTATACTAAGTAATGCCAACTAATTAAAACTCTGTCAGGTTGGAAAGGGTTTGTGAATGAACAAGTCCAGTCACAAATTATCACTTGTATTGAGGTCTGGGCTCTGACTCGGCCTCCAGAACATTCACCTTGTTGTCATAAAACCATTTTCATGTAGCTTTGATTGGATGCTTTGGGTCATTGTCTTGCTGCAAAGCAAATCTTCTCCTAAGTCACAGTTGTCTTGCAGACTGCAACAGATTGTGTTCCAGGATTTCCCAGTACTTTGCAGCATTCATTTCACCCTCTACCTTTACAAGCCTTCCAGGGCTGCTGCCAAAGAAGCATATCCACATCAGGATACTGCCACTGTGTTTGCTGTCTAACAAATACTGCGTCTAGTCCGATGGCCAAAAAGCTTAATTTGGTCTCATCCGACCAAAAATACCTTCTTTCAATTTCAAAGTCCTCCACAATGCCATCTGGAATGCTCTAGTCTAGAATTATGGGGGTTTTTTTTTTCAACAGTGTCTTTCTCTTTGTATCCCATAAAGCTTTGACTGGTGAAGAACAGACAACAGTTTCTGGATGAAGAGTTTCTCCCATCTCAGCTGCTACAGCTTGTCATTCCTTCAGGAGGAGTCATAGGTGTCTTGGTGGCCTCCCTCACTAGTCTTTTTCTAGCACACGACTCAGTTTTTGAGGGTGACTTGCTCCAAGCAGTTTTACACATTGCTTTCATTCCTTAATGATGAATTTACCTGTACACAAAAAGATATTCTGTCACTTTATTACATTTTCTTGTATCCACCCCTGACCTATGCTTTTTCATAACCTTTTCACAGTGTTGCCTGGAGTTTTCTTTAGTCTTCATGGTGTAGTTGTATCCGGTAGAACTGATCCACCAGTGACTGGACCTTCCAAATACAGGTCTCTTTATACTACAATCATTTGAGACACATTCACTCTATTTCACTAATTGCGTAACTTCTAATATCAATTAGCTGCACCTGTGTTGAATTAAGTGAGTCATTTTAAAGGGGGTGAATCCTCAGCTGGGCTTTGGTCTACAGTACATACTTTATGGCTTGCTGCTCTCCCCAAACCCGATTTCCAACCTCCTCCCCTCATCCACACTTCTTATATATTGAGTATTTTCAGCAAACAATCACTCTGTAGTTCAGTTAAAAAATAATTGATTTTTGGTGACTCAAAAAAAGTTTACATGCACTATAAAAAGACTCATGGCCTTTTTTTCTCACTGTTTGACATTAAATGTTACTAAACCTTTCCTGCTTTAGGTCAGTTAGGATTACTACAATTATTTCTATTTTCTAAATGCCAGAATAATGAGAGAGAGAATTTTTTAGAGAATCTTTTGTTACTTCGAAGTCAGAAGTTAACATACATTAAAATTACTATGCTTTCAAACTATCTGGGAAAGCCCAGATGATGATGGCATGGCTCTGGAAGCTTTTGGTAGGTTAATTGACAACATTTGAGTTAATTGGAGGCACACTTGCTGATATATTTTAAGGCACCCCTCAAACAAACTGCTTCCTTTTGTGACAACATGGAAAATCTAAAGAAATCTGCCAAGATGTTAGGAAGAGAATTGTGCAGCTCCACAAGTCTGGTTCATCCTTGGGTACAATTTCCAGATGCCTGAAGGTTCCACATTCATCTGTTCAAACAACTATACTCAAGTACAAACACCATGGGAATGTCCAGCCATCATACCACTCAGGAAGGAGACAGGTTCTGTGTCCCAGAGATGAAGTGTTTTGATGTGAAATTAACCCCAGAACAAAAGCAAAAGATCTTGTGAAGATGCTGCCGAAGCTGGTAAGAGAGTGTCATTATCCACAGTGAAACTAGTCCTGTACCAACATGGGCTGAAAGGCTACTCAGAGAGGAAGAAGACATTTCTCCAAATGAAACATAAAAAAGCCAGATTACAGTATACAAATGGACACGGGGACAAAGACCTTCATTTTTGGAGACATGTCCTATGGTCAGATGAAACTAAAACAGAACTGTTTGGCCATAATGACTATCATTAGATTTGGAGGAAAAAGGGGGAAGCTTGCAAGCCTGAGAACACCATCCCAACTGTGAAGTACGGAGGTGGCAGCATCATGTTGTGGGGGTGTTTTGCTGCAGGAGGGACTGGTGCACTTCACAAAATAGATGGCATCATGAGGAAAGAACATTATGTGGAAATATTGCAGCAACATCTCA